CAATAATGCAAAAGTATAATTGAAATATTAAGTTTTGTTCTGATCTAAATAATCAAAAGAAGATTAATTAAATGAAAAAAAAAATAAAACTTAATCTAATTTTTTTAATGCATAAAAATCAAATGATTTTTAAAGTTCTTGATTTATAATCTTTGATGCTTAACTTTGAATGTTATGCATTTAGTCGGACTAATTATTTGACCAAAGTTTATGTTAAATTTTATATTATATTATATATATATATATATATATATATATATATATATATATATATATTTAATACATTTTAAAATATTCATAGTATATGTTTAATAATTATGTCAACTCTAATTGGATGAGGTTTGAACCTAAAACCTTTCTTATATAAATTAATAATGAGTAAGTTAAAAATAATAAATTGTCAACGGAATATTCCCTTAATTTAGGTTATTTAAGGGAAAAAAATAATATAATAGAGGGTAAAATAAGAAAAATCATTAAAAAATATTAAAATCAAAATAATATGAACCATTCATTTTAAGAAATAATAGGACCGACATTTTTTTATTTCAGTTAAGGATCTAACATTATTAACTTTTATTAGAATTATTCCAAAAAATTGAATCTCAACCCTAAGGGCCCCCCACACCCCAGCCCGACAGAGCATTGTAACCCACAGGCCAACCCATATAACTCACCACCCGCCACGAATTAGTTGAGCCGGGTTAGAGAAACCTCCAACCCAACTAGCCTAAAAAGGGATTAAATGGGCCCAACCTGACAGGTTGAGCCCGTTTTGACAACTATAAATATAATTAAAATTTTGCCTAAGTAACTCATAATTTCATTTAGTTAAAAATAGCATTATAAGTCTACGAGTTCAATCAACTCTAAAAAATTATTGTGTGGATCATGGTCCACACAATGTTATGTGGAGCATAACAAAAAATACATTTTTAATATACTAAATGTATATTATTTTTTTCTCAAAAAAAAATGTACATTATTTTTGTACTGAATGTACATTATATAATATAATGTACACTCAGAATAAAAATAGTATACATTTCTTGAATATAATGTACATTATTTTACAGTAGATAAAATATGGTCCACACAATTTCTATGGTCGATGATGCATACAATAATGATTGACTTGTTAATACAAATTTTATTGGACTTTTTAAAATTTAAATATGGCGAAATAACCCATAACTCGACCCACTTGTATACCTAATACCAGAACCATGAATGAGTGGCCCGTTTAGATTCACCTTGACAACCCACAAAATTCTCGGCAAATTATATGTAGCGTTAGGCCGTGCACCATGTATGGTGCACACAGATGTAAAAACGACGTCGTTTTGACGTCAACTTAAAAAAAAAAAATCATAACTTCATAACTATATATCCAGAATTGCATAATTACACATCCATAACTTCATAACTATACATTCAGAATTGCATAATTATACATCCATAACTTCATAACTATAAATCCAGAATTGCATGCATAACTACACATCTATAACTTCATAACTATACATCCAGAATTGCATAACTACACATCCATAACTTCATAACTATACATCCAGAATTGCATAACTATACATCTATAACTATAAATTCAGAATTGCATAATTACACCATGCATAATTGCACATCCATAACTTCATAATTATAAATCCAGAATTGCATAACTACACATCCATAATTTCATAACTAAAAATCTAGAATGAATGAACTAAAAATTGAGAATAAATGAACAACATAATGCTGTTGCTGGGAATCGAAAGTGAATCTTTTTTAAAGTGGGATGCGCGTTTTTAGTCAAAACGACGTCGTTTTTGCATCCATGTATCGTGCACACGGATGCACAGCATAATTTGCCTAACATGGACCTAGATTCACTGTACCTTGGTCGACAATAACATTTAAATTTAAATTATGCAATTGGTATACCATGAACAGGGTCCATGCATATTACATTGTGAAACTTAATCCAAAAATTATGTGTGTTTGTATTGATATATTTTGTACCTGCAATTAATCATTTATGATTAAAAATTTTGAATTGATTTTGAATGTAAAAGTTTTGGGCGTGGTCCTGTAGAGTAGGACATGTTTTCTAACTTTGTTAAAAAATATCTTGTGTATATATATATATTTTTGATGGGTTATTTTTGTTGCATTATATCTGAACTATTATGTAGAGTAACTACTCCTATTAAATTCTGGTTGGGACTTAAGACAGAGTAATAACTCCTCTAATTGCTTATTGTGGTAATATGTTTAAAGGCTACAATCTTGCTATATAAATTTTCAGTTATCTAAAATATTATTTCATTCCAGAATTATTCCATAAACCCAACGTATTGTTATCATATTTGTGCGGTGATATGTTTTTTTTTAGAAAGGAAGGAAGGGGGACACCCATAGATTTACAGTATATGGTTATCTACTTGTCTCCAAACTGGTAGACCCACCCTATTTCTAGATGTCCTCCTCCCTTTGTTCACCACATATAACTCTATAGCATTTTCGAGAGAAAATTTTGATGGGATACATTGATTTCATTCTCTCTATGCTAGCTTTATTATCTACTTGGGAATTGGTTTCACTTCAACATTTTAAAATCCTTATATCCCATGATAGATTATTATTGTATATAATTCTGCGGGCATTCAAGCTAGCTAGCTAGTTGCCATCCTCACTATTAAATGGAATTCAAAAATCAAAGTAGCTTGGCAATCTCATACTATCTTTGACCAAAATTCATTCAGTGTGGCAATATAACTATTTATATACAGGGCCGGATTTTAGGCTGTGCAAGCTGGGCTACCGCACAGGGCCCCCAATTTTAGAGGGGCCTCAAATTTTAGAGGTCCAATATTTAATTTTTACCTAGCTAGTTTAGAAATAAAAATTAAATTTTTTCAATTGAATTTAAAGGGTTTCATGAAGATATGGTAAGAATGTGTGTTTATTGTATTTTAACTTCGAGGTCAAAGGTTCGAAACTTGCATGTATTATTTTAAAAATTGTGATTTTGGAAGGGCCACATTTATTTACCAGAACAGGGCCACCAAAACTTAAAATACGGCCCTGTTTATATATATATTGTTATTATGAATTGACTGGTCTCATTCCGCATTAAAAAATTTACTTATTAATTAAATACAAATTATATATTGTCAAATACAAATTTTTGAACTCCATCGTTATTGTTAAATTAAAGAGTAGATATTACAATGCAAATTAGCAGATCATAAGTGTTATTAAAACTTCATAAAAGTTGATTTATAAACAATCGATAGACGAAAAAGTTGATTCATAGACAATCAATAGACAAATATTGTGACATTATGAATATTACAAATTTTTTAGCAATAAAAATATAATGCATTAATATTGTGTGTATCTCCAAATTAAACATAAAGCATGTGAAAGGAAAAATAGTTTGGGTGAAACTTTTAAATAGATTTAAATTATAAAAGAATCCTGTTTAGTGGAAATTTATAGTGAAATTGCACTAATATTGTGTCTATTTTCAAACGTAAAGCATGTGAACAGAAAAATAGTTTGAGTGAGACTTTTAAATAGATTTAAAATTATTAACAAATTCAATATAGTAAAAAATTTATAGTGAAATTAAATACTAATGAAAAAAAGAAATATATTTCAATTCTCAAACGTTTTGAAACACACTAGTAAATACTAAATAGTACATTGTCTGTGTATGTATATATACAATAAAGTTTTTATTTTAAAAGATTATTGTAGTTTCTCTAATTTTTTTCATGCATAGCATGAATAGATTACTAGTTTAAATTAATAAGGGACTAAAACTCTAAAAAGAGTATATTATTCATTTATTTTTATGAAATACCTCCAATTTAATATCTATCGACTTTAATTCTCTTACTTAACCTTTTTTTTTTTGAAATATTCATAATCTTTTAGCAGTATCACCCAAAGAAGAATCTAAGTCTCTACCGGAGCGTTATGCTGTGCATCCGTATGCACCATGCATAATGCATACGGATGCAAAAATGACGTCGTTTTGGCGTCTAACTTAAAAAATAATAATTCAGAATTGCATAACTACACATCCATATTTCACTACACTTCCATAATTTCATAACTATACATCCAGAATTACATAACTATACTTCCAGAATTGTATAACTACACTTCCAGAATTGCATAACTACACTTCCAGAATTGCATAACTATAATTTCAGAATTGCATAACTACAATTTCAGAATTGCATAATTGCATAACTACACTTCCAGAATTTCATAACTAAAAAATCCAAAATGAATGAACTAAAAATGAATAACATAATGTTGTTGCTGAGAATCGAAACTGATTTTTTTTTTAAAGTATGGCGCGCACTTTATGCAAAACAACGTCGTTTTTGCATCCGTATGCACCATGCAGGGTGCATACGGATGCACAGCATAATTTGCCGTCACACACACACACACACGATCACCCATTGCCATAGCATTATATGGCTTACTTAACTTTACTTCCACTTTAGTCAAATACTTATGTACAAATCTCTAATCTCTAATAGAAACTTAAAACAATTGAAATGCATGCATCACATTTTCGCCATATATGTTCTTTCCAAAATATATTGTAAACACGAAATGTAACACATTGTAAATCATTGAATCTAAATAATCTAATTAAGACATATGTATTCAAAAAAGAAAAAGAAAAAAGAGTGTCTGTCACGCTATTTTAAGGGCAAAATAAAATTGTTCCTTTTAAATGTGTATACAACAACTGAATTGAACGCCGCCACAATACTCACTTGGGATTTTTACTTTGGTCCATTTCTTAGTTTTCAATTCCAGCACATAAGCTCTCTTAGCTTCATGACCATATTTTACACTTCGAATAACCATCATATTCCCCGGCCACCCTGTCACATATGTCGCATAGAATGTATCTTTTGGGATTTTTGCGACAAACACCCACGTGGTGTCCACTAGTGCAACCACGTCACGTCTTCCCTTGACCGTGTATATTACTCCGCCGATATCTACATAGGTAGACTGAAACGGTATGATGGTGTAGTCTGTAACTATGTCGGTTACGCGCCACTGGCGGGTGACAAGGTCGAGTGTTTCGACGATTTGTTTGGAATCGTCTTGTGTGTCCTTGTTATAGCGGGTGAGTACGTGGAACTTGCCACGATGGAACACGCACGTGCATTCGGTTTGCCCAATTGACATGTCTGACAACGTCGTCCACATGTCCCTTGCCACGTCGTACGCCAAGGTTGATTTCAGCCAGAAATTGTCCCAGTTCCTTCCGCCGGCAACCACCACTGTCCTGTCGTCCGCCGATGCCGCGCATCCGAAGACCATCCGATCCTCTCCTGGCATGTCGGCGCCGCGCCTCCACGTGGCGGATAAGAAGTTGTAGATGAAAACTGAATTCAGATGCTGATGTGTCACCGGGTCGAGACCGCCTATCACCGCCAGCTCCGGTCCAATTCCGACTACGCGACAGAACACCGGCATCCCATCCACCATCTCCGGTATCGGCGGAATATGGCTCCATCGGTTTTTCACCGGCTCGAATAGCGTGAGCCGGTAAAACGGTGGATCCAACTCTTTTAAACCATCCATCATCTGAGCCATGACAATGACAGGTCGGGTTAGAGCAGAAGCTTTCCAGCAGCGGCGGCGGAACTCCGGCTGCTTAATCACAGCGTTCCATGCTCTACACACAGATGCAGCCTTGGATAACTGATCAAACGAAATCCGAATAAGACATTCATGAGCTACGTCGTTGGGAAGACCGGGAATCAACTCCATTGAAAGAAAACAGAGAAAAGCAAGGGATCGGTGAGCAGAATTATATTTGAGAGTTTTGGCGAATTCTAAGTTGTAGCTTTGTTAGGGTTGGCGAATTTTATAAACTTTACAATTTTGGAATTTTTTTTTTTTTTTTGGAAAGAAGCAATACTAGCTTTGTAATATGTATAAATAATGATTGGTTAATTTCCTTTCTAAATTCTCGTGATTCTTATGTTTGCAATTCATTGCATATCTATACAAATCTAATAAGAGCGAATAATGTTAGGCCCTTAACTGGAACAAAAAAAATGTCGTTACTAATTGTTTCTTAAAATGAATGGTTCATATTATTTTGATTTTAGTATCTTTTAATGATTTTCCTTATTTACCCTCTATTATATTATTTTCTTCCCTTAAATAACCCTAAATTCCGTTAGTTTAAACTTTAATAATGGAATATTCCGTTAACTATTTATTATTCTTAACATACTCTTAATTTATATAAGGTCTTAGGTTCGAACCTCATCCCAAGTATAATTGACATAATTGTTAAGCATATATTCCGTTAACTATTTATTATTCTTAACATACTCTTAATTTATATAAGGTCTTAGGTTCGAACCTCATCCCAAGTATAATTGACATAATTGTTAAACATATATTATTAATATGTTAAAATGTATTAAAAAAATATATAATATAAAATTTAACATAAACTTTTGTCAAATAATTAGCTCGACTAAATACATAGCATTCAAAGTTGAGCATCAAATATTATAAATCTGGAACTACTTTAAAATTATTTGATTTTCTTGAATTTTTTTATTAAAAAAAAATTATGTTAAGTTTTTTTTTTTTTTTTTAAATTAATCTTCTTCTGATTATTTAGAACAAAACTTAATATTTCAATTATGCTTTTGCATTATTGGAATGATTTAGGCCATTATGGTATTAATATTTTTTTGTATTTTTTTTATAATTGTACAATTGTACATTACATTACTAATATTATACTATTATTTTTTTATCAGACAATGTTCTTACATCATTGTCAGACCTGCGCGACCTAACTACAAAGTTGTTGATCATAAATACAATTACACATGGACTCAAAAATGGTAGGATCATTTTTCAAATAATTGACAATGTTAACATCCTACTAGCTCCAATTGAACAAGTTTACACATCAAAATTTTATCAATGCATGAAAACTTCTAAAAAAATTTGTAAGTTAATTTTTACTATATCATTATATTAATATCTATTGTAACCATATATTTTGAATTATTTATTATCATCCTCTATTAACAGTAATTGTAGCATTTGTTATGGACAAACTCACAAAACAATTTGTCTCAACAAGGAATGGAAATTTAAAAAAATCATTGATTTCATTATTGTTGAAGAAAAAGTATGTACGACACTTTATTACTCTTATTAATTAAATAAATTAGTAGCTACAATAAAAAATAATACATATGCATTTAATTAATTTAGAATTAGATGTCTATAATGCTTTATTTAAAAAAAAATTATTCATTATAAAAAAATTTAAAAGAAATATAATTTCATTAGTTATATTATCTTTATTTTCTACAATTCAAATATTCCTTACCTTCAAATTTATTAATTTATTATATTCACTACATTGTTCATTGTCTTCTTTTTTACATTATCTTGTAATTAAATATCAAAGTTATAATACAAAACATGTTATATATATATATATATATATATATATATATATATATATATATATATATATATATATTTCTTTCTTTATTTCTTTATTATTTATTTACCAAGTATTTTATACAAATATAATAAATATTAATATTTCGTTCAATACTTTCACATGATAACCTGCGACACACATCTCACAACACATGAAACATGTATGAAAAAAACTACCACTATTAAATATCAATAGGTGTTTGTACGCTAAAGAGTTCATATTACAACTAAAATCTCAGTCATATACACATCAAGGTAAATCTAAAACTTCCTACACCATAATCTCATTGCATGATGAATCCCTCTATGCTGCTACCAGTAACCTAATTGCACATGAAACACTACCAATAATAATAATAAAAAAAAAAAAAAAAAAAGGACATGAACTGAAGATGAAAACAATAACAATGCTACCCAAAAAAGAATTAAGAAGAATTAGAGAAATTTAAACCAAAAGTAGTATTTATTTAGACTATCGCTTTAAAACTAAGTATTTAGACTAACGTTATTACAAAGTTGCAAACATTTATTTTAGTGACAATTATAATCAATCTCTCATATATTATCTTGCATTTATATACTTTAAATTACCGATTCAAATAAACAAATTCAACATTTATTTACATATGCATGAAAATCTCCTATATAATATTGCATTGATATACTTTGGGATACTTATTTAAAAATAATTATTGGGCATTATCTCATTCGCACAAAGTGCGTAAAAAAACTAGTATTATCTATATATGGCATATGTTGTATAAATCTATACCGTTAGGTTTGCATAATATTGTAAACTAAATTAATACAAATAAAATATATTATTTCCTACTTCCTTATTCGTACTATAATTCTACATTCAAATTTTTATTCTAATATTTTAACTAGTGTAATACTATCCCTAACGGGGCGTTTGGTTCAGGTCATCTTAGATTACCTAGGCAATCTGAGTCTATTTGGTTCAAGTTATAAGATTACCTGGTAATGTTATATTACATGAAAGCTGATGTGGCGGTAATGTTTCAAGGTAATGTGATTATCCCCTTTTTTTTTAGATAATCTTAAATTATCTTGAATTATTCCAACTTTGCCCTTATTAACTAATCCTTATATAATAATAATAATAATAATAATAATAATAATAATAATAATAATAATAATAATGAAATTAATATATGTTTATATAATCAAATATACATGTGTATATTTATATATTTAGTTTTTTTAATATTTAAGCGTTGATATACATTCATACATCTATATATATATATATATATATATATATATATATATATATATATATATATATAAAAGTAAAATCCTCCTATTTCATTTTCCCGCCCAAACTTTTGTAGTAAAACTTATATTTGGTAAACAAATGTAAAAGGAAAATTAATTAAAATTTATTAAATGATAATATTACATAATTGGTAATATATATTGTGTATGGTAACTTTTTCTTTTGGACGTAAATACTCCGCCTGGTATATATAAATATCGTTGTCGAATTATTTAATCACGAAGAAGAAGAATCAAGAAGGTTTCTATGTAAAAGCCTCACGAGGAAGCTGGCCTGGCTAGCAATCGAGGTCAATTTTGTAGGTAAAACCTCACTTGCATACACCATTATTAAGTGGAGAGTGATTACAGAGTATGATTATATTAGGATTATATGTTATTTGATTTTGATATTTTTTGTTTAAATACCTTGAAATTAAAGTATTGCACTATGGATGTTGGATTAGTTGTTTTTATTAATTTATGAGTTAATACCCAAAATCGTCCTCGACTATAGTGGTTTTTCTCAATTTCGTCTTAAACGACTTTGGTGACCTAATATCGTCCCAGACTTTTGTGTTTCGCTCAATTTAGTCCTCCATTTGTTATTTCATCAAATTGGTGTTAAATAAAGGGACAATTCAGTAATGTCAATATTGATCTCTCTTTACTTTCAACTTGTGAAGTGCGAAATTCCTCTTTCTTGTACGAATTACATCCAGAATTACTCCCGGACCTGCAAATCAAATTTTATATTCGCAGTTTTAGGAGTAATTATGGGAGTAATTCGTAAAAAAAAAAAAGGATTTCACAGTTCACATGTCTATGAGTAAAGAGATGCCAATATTAAAATTACTGAATTGTCTATTTATTTAACACCAAATGGACAGAATAACAAATGAGGGACTAAATTGAGCAAAAACACAAAAGTCTAGGACTAAATTGAGCGAAACACAAAAGTCTGGGACGATATTAGGTCACCAAAGTCGTTTAGGACGAAATTGAGAAAAACCACTATAGTCGAGGACGATTTTGGGTATTAACTCATTAATTTATTGTGATTTTTTGTGTTGTGGTTACTTGATTAAAAAGCAGGACCTCTAGCCTACTGTGAATGGGTTTCAACAAAAAGAAATTGGAGAGGAAGAGGCTTGGTAACAGAACCCTAATGGTTTAGTTTTAATAATATTAAAGATTTTACCTTTCTTGAGATCTCTGACCATTTTATAATTTCAATACTAAACCCTTTTGATCTCATCCATTGTGTATAAATACACCTTATATGACCATACACAATCCCAACTAAGGTTAATTATTTCATTGATTTTTGCTAATCATCATGTGATCTTTCTCAGTTGAGGTTGATACGTGATTTGCACTGGTGAGGTTTTCATTATCTTAGTTTCTTTTATTTTTTCTCCCCTTTTTGGGTTTTTTTTTTTTTTTTTTTTTTTGTATTTTCTTATTTTTAAACAACAAAAGTGGTTCGTAAGAAAAAATGCTGATATATATATTTTTTTGGTCTATTTGTGTGGAGAAGATACGGATCTAGAAAGATTGAAGGGAAGCAATAGACTTCTAATCATCATGTGATCTTCCACAATTGAGGTTGATACGTGATTTGCATTCGTGAGGTTTTCATCATCTTAATTTCTTTTATTTTTTTCTTTTTTTTTTGGGTTTTGTTTTGTTTTTATTTATTTTTTTTTTTGTATTTTATGGTTTTTAAACAACAAAAGTGGTTCATAAGAAAAAATGTTGATATATATATATATATATATATATATATATATATATATATATATATATATATATATATATTGTCTATTTGTGTGGAGAAGATATGGATCTAGAAAGATTGATCGAGAAGCAATAGAGTTCCTTGCTCATGAAGATGATAAAGTTTTGTGATCGAGGGACGAATTATGTGTATATGTAAATAGATATAGACTTACAGAGGGAAGCATACTAAGAATACAATAAAAACCAAAATGAAATTAAAAGCATTTTTTAGTTGTCAATATATCA